GAGAGAGAAGAAAGAAAGAAGAAGAGAGAGAGAGAGAGAGAGAGAGAGAGAGAAAGAGAGAGAGAAAAGTACATAGGGTGAGCCAGAAGTATCAAGAAAGAACAGAGGCTGCTGATGTCCGTCGATCATCGTCTTGTGTACGAAACTCCTTGCATAACGATCGACAGAAAGGGAAAAGTCGCGTGTTCGCGGTTGGTGCATAAAGCGAAAACAAGCGAGAGCGTGAGGGATAGAGGGAGAAAGAGAGAGAAAGAGGGACTATTTACTACAAATCCCCCTCGTGAGCGCCGGCATCAGGGCAATATGATGTAGCAAAGCTATAAATCGGACGGAACGTCGAGATCGACGAAAACGCGGCAAGACAATCGTTCGAGATCCTGCGTGGCGCGCGTGAATAAAAAAGAAAAACCGCAAAAATCAGAAAACCAATTCGAGATAAACGCGAGACTAATAATTAAGCGATTCTACTATAACAGTAAGTTCCGCGCGCGGAAACTAATCATAAAATTGGATCTTAAAGTGATTAAATCTCTTTATTATGAAACACATTATTATAAGAGAAGGAGAATTTAATTAACGTTCTGGGCCAAAACGTACTCGCTGTATCGATGTCGATATAGAAGAAATGCAAAGAAATGGCAGCATTGATTGTATAAACCACTCGATAAATTTAGCCGAACGTATATGGTATATACGTGGTGCTCTAATGGTAGAACGATTTGAAAAAGAGAGAAAACCAGCAGATCGAGAGACGGAGAAAAATAATGGTAGATTGAACGCAATTATTCTCTTACATGTGTAATTGTGGTCATTGCGATATAAATTAGACGGAAACCGATGATTAAATATGCCGATGAATACGCGTGTGATTTAAAGAAGAATGAGGAGACACGGCGTTGTTAGAGATGTAGCCTACTACACCGGTACGCATCATCGATCGAGTACTCGTAATAATTATTAAAGCGCGTTATTAAGACTCTTAAAAATCTCTCAAAACGCTTAATCAGCTCTTTAAATAGTATACGCAGAAAAATATTCAGACGTAATACGTAAGAGAATTCTTTTAAAAGACTTGATGTAATGGTACGGTAAATAAGACGAAAACAACTCTGTAATAAAGCCGTAACGGCATCCCGTATGCATCGTGTGTTGGTATTATTTATGATTATACTAATTATTTGCAACATTGTCCGGTGCGGTGACGATGGCTGTACATCGATCGTCGTCGTTCTCGTTATCGATCCGTTAAATCTCTCAATTAAATATAAAATTAAATTAATCTGTTACCGACGTGAGTGCAAGCTGCGTTTTTCAGCAATTAAACGTTTCGGCGAATTAACGTAACGTCGTAACGGGCCATTTGTTCGATTTCGCGATTTGTTTCGAGGTAAAACGTATTGGTCGAATTTATATAATGACGAAATGTCGTAACGAGAACGCATGCGAGCGGAGCATTCCTCCTCTCACAAGTGTGGCCCGAGAGGGGCACACGGACAGATTGGGAGAGCAGGGAATTACGTGATGATCGCGCAAGAGACGTAATCACGTAATATCTACCGCGCCGTTTGGGTCATCTAATCGGTCCCCGAATTATCGTGGCGAGCGAGAAGTGACGAAACGCGCGGAGCGATAACGCTCCTCCTCGGGCCACCCTCGTTCGACGATCCACACTATGACTTTCTCGCAGATCCGCGTTCGAATCAATCTGAAAGAGGAGATAATTCGATTGTCGTTTCGTCCTCCGATTTACGGCGGCGGTAATTCAACGGCAAGGTAACGTACGAGAGAGACTCGCGCCAAACTCTCCCCAAACTCTCTCGTTACTCACCGATTCGTCGTTCCAAGTCCCTTGGAATTGACTTTCTTCTCAGCGGGAGAAGAACTCGATGCGACGCGACGTGACGCGGCTCTCTTACTAACTTTTTAATATTCAACTTTAAATATCTTCAAGGTACTAATCCCCGGAATTAAAACTTCCGTTCAAGTTTCACTTGGAAAAGTAAAACCCGTTGTTCAAATTTATCGTTAAAAATTTCTCCTATCGCACGATTCACTGCGATTATTAATAACGCGTTACTTGCTACCGTGGGGTGTACGGTACCTCTTCAAAAATCGGTCTTGAAAAATCACGAGCAACCGCCACGGATAACTCGACGAGAAGCTCGACGAGCTTTCCGAGCGCGCGTAACGAACTGTCTTTCGAATCGTTCTTCCTTTTGAAAAAAAAAAAAAAGCAAAAATCACATTCCTCTGTATCGAAACCGTATCGGTGAGAGATACGTATTTATTTGGAGCGGGTCGGCAATGAAAACCCGTCGAGATCGCGGCTGGCGCGCGACTCCGCACCAATCGAGGCGCGCTGCCTGGTCAAGGTGAGCGTCGTCGGCCGAGGACTCTCGTGATCGTGCTCTTTGTGACCGAGAAATACAACGCCGGCAATCGTGAGCGCCGGCGAGTGCGTCTCGCGCAGCCTGCGGCGGCCGACTCCAGCCGAGGGCGAATGACAACGGAGGAAGGTCGATGACGGAAACAACCGCGCGCCTCGTCTGAATCGCCGCGTGGCGCCGACGAGTGGGACCGAGAGGATCTCTCCTCTCCGATCGAGTTTTTTTACCACGGCCGATGCGACTCGCGCCTATTTGCTATTTCCCGTTTACGTTGTAGTCGCGAAGGTGTGAAGATTTAATTGTCGCCAGGGTAAAGGCGCTCGGTACGGATTCGAGAAAACATCGCGTCGAGTCGCGAAGGGTTAATTCGATTTCCGCGAATTTCCAGTCGATAAAAATCGCTTTCGTAAATACGTCCCGTCCGAAAGACGTATTGCCGCTAACGGCGACGATTTTGAAGCACGGCGAGGGACTCCGGCGCGGTTATATTTGTGACGGAGAAATATAGACTCTTAGCGCGGCGCATTGCTGGAAAGAGACGGATCGCCTATTTAGATATGCCACTCCGATAAGAATGCTGGTGAAAATTTAGTACGTGTCGGACTGCATGCGTCAAATCGCGCTTTATACCATTTTCAACCATCAGTGCACACAAAAACTCTCTTTAATTTATCGCGTTCAAATTATAATTAATTTATCAGCCGGCCGCTCGGAGAGCTCCGCTTTTGAATCATAATTTCCAGATTTTTTTTCCTCGAGAACGTGAATATTTTATGACAACGGTAAAAACGGTAAAATTACGATACGATACATTTAGGTACCGCGGATTGAAACCGTTAGATCGATAATAACGTTCAGCGTAAATAAATCGCATCGTTAATGCGGGGAGCTCACGGTGGTGGTGGTGGTGTATATAAATCGCGATACGTTCGCCGCGTTGCGCCGCGCCGATAATAATTGTTATATTGTCTTAACGATCGCGTGAATATCTTAATCGCGCGATATACCCGGGTACTCGCGTTAAAGCGAACGATCGTAATCGCAAACTATCGTTATATTCGCGGCGTTTACGCGGCGTGGTTTACGTCGAGAAAATCAGTGTACTCGCACAATTAAACGACCCGTAAAACAGTCATCAAAGCGTGGCGCGGAATACTCGCGAGTGCGCGGCTGTGATTATTTCCATTATTATTATTATTATTATTATTATTATTATTATTATGTAAACGCATATTTAAGCGCATCTCTCGCTCGCGCGCGCGTTAGATGCTCTCCCATTCAAGTGCAATTGTCTTGAAGAATACCGGGATATTTTTAGAATTCGTGTCGTGTCATTGTTTTCTTCGGAAATAACGTGTTATTATAGGTGGATATTGTCACTTTCAGCGTGTCAAGTGTAATCCCACGGAGTCTAGCATTATACGCAGTTACGGCGACATAATGCATCCTCAGGATTTCTCTCGAACGGGTTTTGCATAAAGTGCAAGTTGTAAATATTTGTGCGTATCCGCGTAAGCCAAAGTCACGTTTTAGCCGGGAATTAGTGTCAGGGCGGGTTCAACCTTGACTCGAATTCCCAAAGGCGGTCGACATCGCTACGAGAAGTGGGAAATTGCGAAAAATATTAATCGCGAAATTATTTCTCTTTTCTTCCTTTTCTTATTTCCGTTCCAAAGTTTCTCCGCAAGTTTCTTTCCGTCAAGCGCGTTCGGTCAGAGATGATTATGACATAAGGTGTAATGTTTGAAATATTGCTCGTGCGATACGATAGAAGATATGCTTTTCGAACGTTATACACGCAAAGGAGTGCTGATAGCAAGACTCTTTTTTTCTTAACCTAATCTCGGGATTTCTAATCGTAACGCGTAATGTGAAATACCGCATTGTGACGCGATACAAGAAATACGTTGTACAAAGA